AGAGGGGGTCCTTATAGAGTCTTATAGGTGAAGACGAACTTTATCCAACACCCAGACCACGTGACCTCTGACCCGGTGTCGCGCCTGCAGATTGCCGCGGACCGGGTGGCCCTCCGTGAGGGTCCCTCCCTTGGCGCGGCGGCCGTCAGCTCACTGCGACGAGGCGAGGAGGGGGTCGAGGGAGACGAGTGAGTGAAGAAGGGGGGAACCTCATCCTGGGAAGGGGTTGATCCTCATCCTCATTTTTCAGATCCTCATCCTCATCCTCTCACTTTCTTTGCGATCTCAAGTTGTCAAGCGGTCTTTTAAAGAAAGGTGTGAGGATGAGGATCTGGGAATGGCATGGGAAATCCTGAATGTTCCTGTTTTTTTCTTCCAGAACAGGGTGCCCTGCTACTGCAGGGAGATGGCGTTGGATTAGGCTGCAGGGACTGTCAAGAGTCGATAAAGCATTTCGGAGCTATATCTCCCAGCACCCAAACTGCAACAAACCATTCATTGAAGTGCCACAATGACAAATAAGCAGCGATTCAGATCCTCACAGACTAGAAAAGCACTTCCAGACCAATTGAAATCCCTTCATACCATTTGATACTACCCTCTCATCGCGCGGTCCATGCTGAAACGCGTCGACTCGGGGTTCAGTATGCAGCTTAGACCCCGTATACAGCAAGAAAAAAACACGGCAGCACATCAATGATAGCGAGCTTCCACGAGTCAGTTGCGCGGTCTGCCCCAGCAGATCAAAATGGTGGCCAGTACCACTAAGAAGCAACGCATTGTTGAGCTAGATTGAATCCTGATCAGCAATCAAGCAGTTGTGGATAACTAAACACGCAGAGTGAGACTCTTCAGTCCTTCTTTGTTGGCGAAAAGGGACGATCTTCACTCTTCCCGATGCATTGCACTCTTTTTGGGGGGAGAAGAGCTCAGTTGGATCACCTCAGATAACAACCCAGTCCCTATGGATCCGCGCGGGCCGTGTGGCCGTGTGGCGGGTGCGGGTAGTCTAGGCGCCTCACTGGAACTCTTCGGCTGGGATGAGACACGCACGTGGCGCAAGTGTTTGGAGCCCAGGAGGGGGAACATCCGAGGTGGGGAGGGTGGAAGAAGTGTTGGGAGGGTGCTGATATGGTCGTGGGATCTCGAGCCTATGGCGTGCTTGTTTGAGTAAAAATAGAGGGTGCTTATGGAGATAGAACACGATACAATATCCTTGATGTCACCTCTTATTTTGATCTCATCAGGATCTCTTCCAGACACGCAATGAAGATGCCCAGAACTCCCACTATAGTTGGGTAGGGCACAATTCGAGCCACACTGGCTGCGACCGCTGAAATCACCAGCTCTAAGAAGTCACCAGGGTCCGACATTGTAAAGGGCTCCATTTTTGTATATTTTTGTGAAAATCAATCCACCATAACCCACCCAACTTTGTGCTCTCCCTCTCCATCGATGCCAGGACCATGTTGCAAGCTTGGGTGCTCCTGGAACACCCGGAGCTGGGTCCTTTGCTACGCCCTTCGTCCAGTTCGGGAACCGGCTGGCGGCCCATGCCGCTTTGCGATGCCGCGGCAGAGGGGCGCCTGGAGGATATGAGGCGGAGCTCTGCAGCTGTTCATGATCCGGGTGGGTGTCGGGGGTCAGGTGCTCTGCAGCTGTTTGGAGCAAATTGTCCAAAATGCTTACCAATGGACTATACCCTTTATAGGTCTTATAATACATTATGAGGCATCATGCTTCATCTAGGACGAACTCACAAACCCACCGGCCAAAACCCATGCGGAAAAAGAGTTTGCACCGGCACCGCGATGGCCACGCTGGAACACGCTCTGACTCGGCACGCGCCGCGCGACGCGGGGCACGCCCCGAGTGCTCTGTGTCGGGGAGGCACTTCTTGTTGGACACCCAAGCCGCGGGCACGGTGGACTGGCAGGGCCGTTCGCCCCTGGCGCTGAGCGCCAGCTGCAACCAGCTGTCCTGCACGGTGCGGCTGTTAGAGGCCCGGAAGATGAGAGGCACTGAAGATGAGAGGATCTCCCAACATCCACCATGGCACAAGCAGATATTGATCGGCAAAACATGGTTGTAGGATGTTGTAGGATGTTGTAGGCCTGAGGAACACCAAGTAACACCCACCTTTTCAACTGCATGAAATGATGTGTGGACTTTGGACGAATCCCTCGAAGACTGGCCAAGGGGATTCAATCATCCTGACCATCTCACTTGCCCTACCCAAAGCACCTGAAACATAAAGCACCTTTAATATATAGCCTTAAGCCCCTGGATCAAGCTTGGTGGGGCAACTATCATCAACTCTCCAAATCGACAGCCACTGCTGCCACCCGCCCTCATTGCCTCTCCAGGCTGGTGCTGATGCCCGGGAGGCGCTCGAGGATTGCGAACGCAGGTGGGGCCGAGCTCTGCGGCGCTTCGCTCATTGGGTCGATGTGGTGAGCTCCGGTCGGGCGCCGCAGTGGCCGGTGGCACTGATGTCGCCGGTGGAATGGGGCAAGCTGTGGTCCCCCACAGGTCCGGGGTTGGGTGCAAAAGTGCCAGCTCAAGAGTGCCAGTTGAAAGACCCAATACCGGCTGCAAAATGGATAGAAGATAGAAGAGTGAGTCCACTGATCAAAACCTGTTGGTGCCCACGCTCCTGAAGACATCTCCATCCATGGGAACCGGACCGCACCATTCGCACGAGGCACGAGGAGTTGGATGTCTTGCCTGCAGCACTTCTCACGGTCCACGGCCCTAGGGCTGGGACGTGTCAAGGGTGGGGTTTGCGCGGTGGTCAATGCGGACGCAAGATAAGGCGTGTCAAGGATGACTGACATCCCTGGAAAGCTTGCATCATGGGCATCATAGCATCATCCCAAGACCACTGTTTTGCGAGCTTTCGTAGTGGAAGATGGTCCTACTGGGAACTCTTTCTGGGGTTCCATAACGGATTCTTGCAGTGTTGTGAACCTCCAGCCTTAGCACAGATTTTTTTCAAGTCACCCTCTGTAGCCATGGGATTGCGAAGCCAAATGGAAGCGATCCAGTCCCAAAGTGTCTTCATGCAATAGAAGTCATGAATCAATGGACATATGCAAATCGAAGTTGTTGGTCGTTGAAAGTCTGAAAGCCACTTGTGTCGGTCACCAGGGCCTTGGACCTCTCTTCGAACCATAGGTTGTGTGAGAAACCTGGAAACCACCACAAGCAGCCTGTTTGCTCAGTCCCTCAAGCCGGGGACTAAGACTAAGACTAGCTGAGCCAGCTTCCACCAGCTTAAGCACTGCACAAAAAAGTAAAGTCCACAAATCTCACGCGGATTCTGAGAATTTCCTTGAACAAGTTGCTGCAAAAAGCAACTATTCATCACTCTCTTTGAGACGTGTGAGCCTTCCCGGGTCCATCCGCTCACCAAGGCGATGGCTGGGGGAAAGGCAAACCAGTCAGCACTCCAGTTCGAGCGCTCAGTCAAGCGTCCTGTGGAACACTGAGGGATGTTGCGTCTAGAGTCTAGGGGTTCGTCCTGCACCTATCGACAGCACTATGGCAAGCCCCGTGAGGGGAAATGCAGACGGTCTCACTGTAGTATTAGATAGATTAGATAGAGGTGTTTCTTGACTTCTTTCATCAGTTCCTACTTGTACACTATTCTTTTTGCTCTTGAGCCATGGGGTCTACATGGGGGTAATGGGTTCTGAGCCACTTCTCTGCAATGTATTCGCGTTCAGGCAGCTTTCATTTGCATTTGTGGATGCATCCTGGGCTTGGATTGTAGACCGTCACCATCCCCTGTCAGAGGACATGTACAACTTATCAGCAAAGGCTTTACAACAGAGTCAAAGCAGCCAGTCGGAGAGTTGGAAGACAATATCATCTAGGCCCGAATCTCTATGCTCCCTGAGATGCTGTATTCACTGTTTTTAGTTGATTCGCAGCGACGGACGGTCATATTCTTGCACAGCATCGCACAGCGTTCATTTCATCCTTTTGAAAGGTTCCCACTGTTCCACCACCCACCGGGGTCAACCACTAAACCATACCAAACCGTTCCAAACCCGCCGTTTCAATCCGTTTCAGCCGGGTGGTTCCCTGGGAACGAGGCTCCTGTTGAAGCGCCTGGACCCACCGGAGCGCAACGTGGCCGAAGCCATGCTGAACCGCCGGGAGCCGCGAGGCGCGAGGAGAACCCACGACGAGGAAGGTCTCGGGGGGGTCTCGAAACTGGATACAGTGTAGAATGATGATGGGGTCATTCAGTTCAAAAGCTCATGACTCACCACATGGAAATGATTGCAAATGCATGTATGCAAATGGAGCAGTACTTGGAATGCTCGCTGCATCCAAGAGGCTCAAGATGGAAACTGCTGAACATGGCATTGAATTTGAACGCCCAAAGATCATGCTTTCATATACACTTTTCAGAGTGATAGGTTTTGTTACATGGAATGTCCGTCCTCCAACATCAGAAGCTACTCCTGTCCAATCACAAACCGAAATGAAGGAGACGTGTCACTGTAACCAGTTGTTCACTGCCAAGGCCTTTGCCAGGGATCAGCATTTTCCACGGGTGGTCATGGCAGCACCCGTGCCGGGCACTTGCATCCGGGTGCTGCTCCGTCCTGAGACCAAAGGTGAGGGTGTATGGGCGGATGTGATCCGGAGAGAGAAAGGGACACCTCATGATGTCTTCTTCTGTGAGACTGTGGAGTCTCCACTTCGCAAGTTCAGGTTTTGTCCGGAAGACGTAGAGAAGGGACAAGATGAGAAGGTCTTCAAATGGTCAGATGCAAAGGAGCCTAAGGAGAAGATTGAGTTCATGCAATCAGAGATCGAAAGAATGCAAAAGGAGTTGGTGGGCGGACAATTATGGCTCTTGGATGAGACTGTCAAGAAGGTGCCTGGATACATCACTGAGCGATCGCAATTGCGACTGAAAGCTACCATTTTGGACGAAGGTTTCGTCCGATCAGGAAGACATTCAGAAGGAGATAGAAAAGTTGATGGAAAAAAGTGCTGCAGATGAAGAGCTTCGAAAGCATGTCGGAGGCCTACTGCGTCGCCATGCAGGGTCCGATGAGTTTTGGTCAGCGGCAGAGGTACTGGCAGGCAGGAGTTGTTAAAGTCACCACAATCCTTCTTCCATGGGTAGTAAAGTTTCCACGTGAAACTCCAAGAGTGAATTGATTGATGGCAGAGTATTGTCCTTGGTACATAGTCTCGAGGGAGTTGTGACCAGCTTGCAGAAGGACGCACCACAGAACAGAACCAGCAAAATGGAACCTGCAAAATGTTGCCACGACAGGATTTTTGGACAAGGTGAACAAGTCAGCCGAGGAATTCAAGGAGATGATCACAAATGCACCGCCTCCAGAGCTTGTTCAAAGTGACGAATACCAATGCTATGCAGAATTCTGCTGCCGCAAATGCGGGCGTGCTTGGCAAACCATCCTTGCATGGGGAGTATATGATCTGCAGAACAAATACAAGTGCGATTGCTTAACAGCAGGCACACGGCGACGGAGGTTTCATGAAGTCCGGGTTGATGAGGAACGTCTTGCAACAGTTGGATGCATTCACACTTTGTTGAACTGGTATGACCTCACACAAGACCGAGTCACCCGAATGAAGTGGATTCCTGTGGATGGCGCAGGTCCTCCCCAGCAAGGCTGTCAAAACTGCCACGCGTGGAACAAGGCCACGGTTTGCGAGATATTCTGGGATCAGCCTGGCCATGGCCGACACAAGCCTGAGCGGTGTCCCAAATGCAGATGGCGGGGAGAGTGGTGTGCTGGTTCATTCCACAGAGCCGACGTTTTGCTCCGATATCGCGTCTTTTCAGAACTCATCACTCCTGGTATGGAGTGGAGTAAAAGTGAATCTGGCTTAGAGACAGAATTTCGCTACAAAGGATACCGTGTCCTGCTTCAGATTCGTCCATACCTTTTCATTATCCCCCAGCACAGGGAAGCTCGGACTTCCACTGGGCAAAAAGAGCATCTTTTGCGGGGTGACCGCATTCCAGCCGGAGCCGATCCTGTAAAACTGCTGCTGCGCCTTGCTTTGGAACGCATGCATTTGGGGCGCACCGATGATGAGTCCCTCTTTGATGATGCTGAGGCCAGGAGGGGATGAACATGGTTGAAGAGATTCGATTTGCTTTGAGCGAGTTTACACAGTGAAAGCATTCAGCACTCAACATTTTGTTTTTCAAGATCTACTAAGTATATAGTTTTTTTTGTAAAGGGAACTTATATAATCTTACACTACAATACAACCACTTTTTCCACTGTGTGTTTGCTAGTTAAGGGTAAGAATACTGTACAGGTAAACACAGTTAAAGTGTGGATAGGAACGGCTAAAATAGAAATGCATGCTGCATGCTGCTTTTGTAATTCACAATCATCAAAAACTAACACGCGCCTACTAGTACAAGTTCCACCTCCTCGGAATTTTTGGTACAAAATCCCAAGCCCAAAGCCGAACCAAACATGTTGCAGCACCGATGTCAGACCAGCAAAGGCCACCATGGGCTGCAAGCTCTACGGCCCATGGAGGGCGTACTCTTTATATGGGCGGCGCAACGACTATGGTGAACGTCATGGTGTTGTCTACTACAAGCCAAGAGGATGGGTGAAGCGGCGAATCAAGGTGGAAGCTGCAGAGTGGGAGAAGATCAAAGATTGGCCAATCCTGTGGCACGGAACATCCTTGGAACATGCAGCGGAAATCGTCTTCACAAGCCTTCGCAAGCCGGGCGAAGGGGGATGCAGAATTGTTCATGGGCAAGCAGGGTCAACTACAAAGACCACCATCTACTTGTCTCCAGCTCTAGGGGTTTCAAGCCATCCTGTTTACTCGGGATTTTTTGAGCTGAAGAAGGGTCAGCTGTGGGTTCAGGTGGTGTTTCAGTGCAAAGCGCGCCCAGGTTCATGGCAGGTCCGGAATAGCACACTTGGCGGTGTTCGGCATTGGCCTCGTCAGTTGCAGATTGATCAGAACTTCAAGACGCATGAGAACTTGGAATTCCTGGTGGAAGATCCTGCAGATGTGGTGGTGACAGGCCTCATGTTTCGTCAATTTGGGCCAGCAGCAGATGCTTCAATCTGCGGAGACTTGGTGAAACAGGTGAATGATCGTAATGGAGGAGGAGCTAAAGCAGCTGGCTATAGCTGGACGGCGTTGCTAGAAGCTGATTTTAGGCAACGAAACTTGTACAGTGGGGGAGCCTAGCCCCAAAGTGGACCTTGTGAAACCGTCCAGGATGCAACAGGTTGTGGTCTCTCCCGATTTTAACATGGTGGAGCACAGATGGCCATGACAGCATTCAATCGTAGTTTGAAGATTGCTTGAATAACATCTTCGTCTATTCGTATATTCTGCACGCCATTGGTGCTTGGACAAAAAGACTGCCTGCTGAGAATTGTCGAAGGCCAATGTTGTTGGAGATGTATGGACAATGCTTTTATCTTTAAAATTACCTGGAATTCTTGATCGAACGTGATGCGCGCGGCATGCACGTGCTCATCCACTGGCCCAAAAGTTGCCCCAAACATATCCAAATATTGCCCGGCCCATTATTCCAATTTGGATCCTGTTTGGTACCTGGTTGATAATAACACACACACACTTCGCAATAAGATCCTCAGCTGGACCATCACAGGTGGGTTGTCCATCCACCTGTCCAGGCATGAACAAGACCGACCTGAAGGAAGCGATGAACCAGGCCTTTGAGGAGGACACGAGCAGATGGGTCGGTGAAGAGCTAGTCATTGAGGTCTCTGACTGGGATGGCGTTGATGGACACCACTGAGAGGCATGCGGCTTTCATAATTAATATCATAACTATAGTGAAAGCCTCGGAACCAAACCATAGGACTTGTTGAGCCACGTGAAGATCCGAGGAATGAACCAGACCATTCTGTTCAAGTTGACTTGGAAAGTAGACATGAAAAGAGTTACCAGGACTTCCAAGTTGGCTTTGAGACTCATCACCACAGGGATCGGCCCTATGGATCACCCCAGTTCCTAGTGCCTATCTATATAGTCCTTTTCAGACTCCAAGTTGTCTCCAAGTCACTTCTAAGTACCCAAAGTCCTCCCAAGTCTCCTGGATCATCCCAAGCCCCTCCCAACCCCCACCTGAGACCCGAAGCCACCGAAGCCGCCGAAGAGCCGCCGAACAGCCGCCGCTTCCGCCGCAGGAGGCGGCCACCGAGGCGCCGGACTCGCCGGAGCCGCCGGAGCCGAAGCGCACGGAGGAGGGCGAGCTCTATGACGCTTGGGTCCGGACGAACTTGGTGACTGTGGGTGACACTGAAGTGTTTTATGTTGATTTTATTCATTTTTTTTCACATTTTGTTCTATGTTTCAGGCAAGTGCTTATATCATTACTGCGCACGAAAATGTGCGAAATGCACTGCATATTACGATGTGTATTGTGGGATTGCTTTCCCATGATTGAGATGTTAGGATACTTCACCAACATGCGATTCTTCCAAAGCTGGGAAGACCATCAAGACCATCTCTTAGCAATGGCATTGACTCATTTGTAGGGCCTTTTTCTCGAAGCAACGCTTAAGGAAGTGGTCTATGAGGCCATTTGGGTGCGACAAGTTCCGGATGGCAAGGGCCAGAAGCTCACGAAGCGTGGCTTGGTGGTCAAGTGGATTTCATGCAGATCATCATGGTTGGGTGATTCCCTTTGCGACTGTGACAACATGTGGAAGAAATGCCAAAGAGGGTGCTCTTAGGTATTTGTTGATGGCAATTGGCAATGGTTCAGTGTTTCTACAGTAATCAAAAAGGTCCATGAGTCTCGATACATCCTCGGTGTCACAACAATTTGAGTAGGTGGTGCTGGGCGATGGCTGGTAGAAACGCTTGAGGAGCAACGTGTCACGGAAGGGACGACGTTTCGTTTGAGGCATGAAGCAGGACCGCTTCCGACTCCTGCGCTTTGACGAGACGGGCAATTGGGGCCAGCTGAAGGCAAATTGATTTGGCCGGAGTCAGAAGCGACATAAATCCAAGGACTTTTTGGGGTGGTCCAATCTTTATGACTAATTGACAATTTTGTTAAATTGACAATGTTTGTGAGTATCTCGACTCTTCTGCCAAATTTCCAAGATCTCTCTTTGGTGTCATCTATCAGACCCACACGGGTGTGGTTGATGGACAACCATGAACAACCCAAATCATCTCCAATTGGTTTCTACTAAACACCGATTGGGCAGGGAACGGGGTAGGACGTAGGCCCTCAACTGCCGAGCTCCAGGTGGTGCTGGCCGAAGGCGATGCGGAGGGCTGGGTGATGTTGACCCACCCAGAGCTGGGGCCGCTGGTGAGGTGACGTGGCGGTGAAGGGAGGAATGAGGAATGGCTTTTTTAAAAGTGTGTGTGTCCCGTTACCGGCCCGTTACCTGCAACAGTGGATAAAGGCTTGACTACTTTTGAAAGAGGCCTGCAACCTAACTATCATGATCCACTGTTACAGGGGATGGGATATACCAAAAGAATGGCATTGAAGTGGGTTGATCCATATTTAGCCATAGCTGCTTGGCTGGCCATGAGTCATGCGACGGAGGATGAGTAGGTCACATACTTGCTCATATTCGCTGCTAAAGGGCAACAAGGGCTGGCTGATGTGTATGTGGAAGATGCAAGTAGGATAGATTAGTGCGGTCACGGATGTGGTGCTGCTGATGTGTGACTGGCAGATGATTGGGTGATCTGGTGCGAGTGTTGCTTTTGAGTGGCTGATGATGTGTTTAGAAGAGCTTGTGGCTGATGAAGTACAGAAAGAGTTTGGCTTCGACCAACCCTCAGGTGCCTCAGAGGTGTTCTGTCTCAGTGAGTCTCAGTGCCCTCGAGGAAATGTCAAGATGACGACGACCGTGGCGGCCTCCTGAAGCCGGAGGAGCTTTAACCTCCAAGTCGAGGCGCTTTTCTGTCGCCGAGAGACGACGAGGAAAAGGAGCACTTGCAGATGGATACAACGCGGCTGGTGCGTCTCAAGGTTTAGGGATGCCCATAATGCAGGCAGTAGGCGTTCATGCATGTCATGCTGCATGTCTATTTCAGTGGACATGTGTTTTTGTGGGGCATCAATCGATTGTAAAGCTTCATACGAGATGTGTATTTGGACCCTTTGCTGCCAAGGGTTGCAAGCACCACCTTTGCAGATAGGGACCTGGTCAGTCCTGGATATGTTGTTTTGAACAGTTTTCTTTTTTGGCTGAACAGCATCGAGCACTTTTATCACACTCACTCGCACGCGTGACCACCCTGTGCTGGGTGGCTCAACACCAAGCCCCCCCGACCGGGTTCCCAACATCAGAAAAGCAGTCCAGCCCTTTCCCAAGCAGTGTGGCATCCACAGATTGCAGGTCACGTTGTTACATTTGTACCATTTCGTTCAGGTTGTTACAGTTTCTGAAGGGGATAACATCAAACAACATGAGGTTGGCTTTGTAGCAGAGCCCAGGCAGCCCCTGTCGCAAGAGATTGATTGGCCGCCGCATGAGCCAGGCTTCGCACTCACCACCGTGGCCGGGGCGAGAAAGAGCGTGGGACTGTGGCTGAGGGAAGGGATGCGAAGGCACTGCGAGTGGGTGTGCCTCAAACACTGCGGGCCAAATCTGTGAAGTTGTTCTTACAAAACCTTACAAAGTTATAGTTTACCCTCTTAGTCTCACAACATTCATCAACATTCTATGATTCTTCTCCAACATGCACACCTTTCCTTCTCATTCGAATGGTTCTCATCTCAAGCATTACCCCCCCCTCGTCTTTCTCAACCTTATTTCTTGGATGGGTCAAACCAGCCATAGCGCGGGGGTCCGCGTTTGTGCGTATTTTTTCCGCGCGCGTGCGCCGCGCAGGTCCACGATGATGGAATTCTCGGACCGGAACATGGAAGACTTCGCCACAGGAGCGAAAGGGCTAGGAAAACTGGGTAAAGAAAAAGCAAACCGGTCATGGGGTATGTTTGAGCCTGTTTCAAGACCTCGGATGTGAACTCTTGTGAAGGTTGATGGGGGGGAATATGATCTACTGAAGATTCGTGGAAGAAAAACATTTCGGTTTGGCTCTTATTCATGTGGGTTCCAGGTTATAGAATTGCTTTAAACCTATATAATGTGTTTCTCCAGTGGTTTTTGTTCGACCGAGTTGTGCCACTTCTGCAGGCCACATCGATGCCTCCAAGCCTGTGAACGAGCCACATCCTCAGAGTGAACAAATCCAAGAAAGACCTAGATCGATGTGACACCTATGAGTATCGTATAATTCAACAAGTACAACGCCTTAGTGGTTATGGAGTAAATAGGTCTTACATGATCTTACGGTTTTACTGCACAGGTCCTAGCATGTGAGTCTAGCATCTGAAGCTCCTTTCGTGGACCGACCAAGAGGTGACCTGAATAGACCATGTCATTCCTTCGGTGGCTCCGTTAGGATCGGTGCCCCGTTTGACATGGAGGAAGTTATGCTTGTTGTTTTCTCTCAAGAAAAAATGATGGACTCGTGCAAGTAGATGTGTTTTTTGGCAAAGACGCACTCAGGTGGCTGTTGGACAAGCTCGCAGAGAATGTCAAGGCCACGGTTGCCTAGTGTGTTTTCTGTCAAGACGGACGCTGGAAGGTGAGAACTCATGAGTCTTTTTCAGGGTTTGCGTTTCCAACATGGGTGTTTAACCACGTCCCCAAAGAATCTCGTTGACTTTTCTCCTCCGATCCTGTTTGCCAAAACATGCTGGAATGCATATTCATATCCAACCCTCAGCAACTCAATAAAGAAAACATGTGCTTAGAATAACGGTTTTGTGAAGGTGCCTGCTGCATGCGATCCAAAGATAAAACAGGGCCTATGTGAGAGTGGCACTACTTTGACTTTCAACAATTTCTTCCTTGCAATTGCCCCAGTATTCTCTTCTTATTTGTCCATGTTCCCCTCAACAGAAAAAGACTAGGCGACTAGGGCAATATGGGGCATATGATCAATTTGGTCTTAAGTTTCCTTTGCACAGGTCTATTGCGCCCTGCTGGACCCGGTCACGCCGGCGGCCTGAGGAATTTCCAGTTTCAGGGAACATCCCCATTTCTTGAGAGAGATGTTGTGCCTTGAGGAAGCCATTCTTTTCTTGCTTTGATGTTCATGTGAGGTATCATGTTCATTTTCCAAATGACATCTTCAGTCAACCTGGTTCTATAGGGTGTCTCGTTTGTGGGATA